TGAGGGATGAACAAACAATAGCTCGGTGAGCATACATTATATAACATACTAAGAAAGGGAAACAACTACGAATGACACTTTCCAATTCATCTCAAAATGTAATGCTTATATCTTTGAAACACATGCATATTGTAAAACACTTCATGCATCACAAATCAAATGGTTCAAAACCATTTTAAATCAAATCATCAAAACACTTATCATACATATATCTTATTCATACGAAATCTCATATATAGGTTTTATACACCCCTAGGATAATAACGTGTCATTGGGTGTGAACACCCAAAGGTCATGCCTCCGTGGCTAGGTTTCGCATGTTGGCCAACACATGAGCTAGCACTCTACCTCTCTTACTAGCTGGAGCCTCGTATCATTGAGCTCAAAAGCTAACCCCCAGTAGTTAGGTTTCTTAAAGTCTCGAAAACCTTTTTGAAAACCAAACATAATAATATATTTTCAAATTGGTATTTAAAATATCATACATATATTTTTAAAAATTATACGGATACTCAAAATAATGAATATAACATGTTCATTCTAATCCAAAATCGGATATTAATTTTGATAGCACATTTTTCCAACATATTTAAATCTTGTTTCAATTCATATCAAGTCATTTTTATGTTTTCCCTTTTGATTGGAGAATGTCATGGTCGGATTCAAGTGAACATCTCTTCTCGATGTCTCTTTTCATTTTGGGAGAACATAAATAAAAGAAAAGGTGTCATAGCTAGAATCCAAGATATCAAGAAAATATCTCTATTCTTTTTGTTCTTTCGTGGATGAAAAATATAAAACGGCACACGGAAAATGAAACTAACCCCGAATAAGACTCCGAATAAAATTCAACTCATTTCAATAGTTATTTTGGTCAACTTATAAAAAAAACTTATACCCATTTAATTTCTAAAAAATGGTCCGAATGACATTTTTTTAAAGAACAAAATATATAAATACATCTTTAGTTGTGTTTGGAATATTTAAAATGTGTTTAGATACACTATTGTATAGCAAACTCGAAAGGGTCGGAGACCTTAGGTATTTTAAAGAGTGATAATTTTAGTGATCAATGCTTTACGATGGAGCTGAAAGTGCTAGGTTTTAGATCTAATTTCAATAGTGTATCCAAAATGAGTGTCGATCCTAGTGTTTGCACTTGAAAATGATTATTATGTTTGTATTAGATGATATGATTGATCTAGTTTACTAAGTGTGATGTTTTGATTGCTTGATGTTCATGTCTAATGTATGATTTAAGTGATTTACTTGTTTGTTAAAAAGAAGTCATCGATTACTTTTCATTTATGTGGACGAAACTGCTAGTGGCTTTCAATCATGTTCGGTAGTTTTACTATTTTGGCCCGTATTCAAAAGGACTTATCATTTTTACCTAAAATGATTTAGCTAATTTGTTGTTATGAACTACATTTATAAGAGACTCGTCATTTTTATCTAAAATAATTTGTTGTTTTACTATTATGGGTTACAATTATAAGGGACTTGTTATTTTTATGTAAAATGATTTGTTATTTTGTTGTTATTGGTACAATTATAAGAGATCCACCATTTTTATCTATAATAATTTGTTATTTTATTGTTATGGGATGTAGTTATAAAGAACTCGTTATTTTTATCTCAATGATTTGTTTTTTTTTTCTTTGCTATTATGGTCGCAATCATACGATACTCGTCATTTTTATCTAAAATGATTGTTATTTTGCTATTATGGGTCGTAGTCGTAAAGGACTCACTATTTTTACCTAAAATGATTTGTTGTTTTGATATTATGGACTACAGATCGTAAGGGACTCGCTATTTTTACCTAAAATGATTTGTTGTTTTGCTTTTATAGACTCTAGTCGTAAGGGACTCATCATTTTACTAAAATAATTTACTATTTTGCTATTAAGGGCTATAGTTGTAAGAAATTCACCATGTTATATAAATGATTTGTTGTTTTGATATTTTGAGCCACGATCACAAGGGACTTACCATTTTTACTGAAATAATTTATTGTTTTGCTTTTATAAAGTACGATCATAAGGGACTTGCTATTTTTACCTAAAATGATTTGTTGTTTTGTTATTATGGTTGCAGTTGCAAGAAACTCTCCATTTTTACCTAAAATGATTTGTTGTTTTGCTATTATGGGTTGTAGTCATAAGCAAATTGTCATTTTTATCTAAAATGATTTGTTATTTTTTTGGTATGGCTATAGTCACAAGGAACTCTTCATTTTTGTATTTTATTTGAATGATTTCTAATATAGGTTATAGTTGTAAGAGACTCACCATTTTTTTTATTTGAATGATTTTTTATTTTGTGTTATTAGTGGCTTTTCGCTTGTGTTGACGAAGTCATTAGTGACCCCTCATCTCTCTAATTATATGAATCAAAATTTTTTTGACTTTCTATTAGTATATACGAACTCATCGATAGCCTCGTAATTATGTCAATATGAACTCCTAATCATTAGAGACTCACCTATTTACTTATAAAGGTTTGTAGTCATTAAAGGTTAGCCAAAATTTTAATTTACATCCACATTCTCTCTTAGAATATAGGTATAGGCCTTTGATTGGCCTAAACCCCAAACTACTCGACCATTATATTATATCCTAAAAAAATCACTTATGTATAAAATCATAACATAACAAAACTAGACTTTAATTTTCGGATACATACAATGCAACCTCCCTCAAGTAGGACAAGATGATGATGGAATAAATATTCTCTATACATAACCGATCTCTTATTCGGATATTTATATAGATCGGCTTTGTTTTAGGGTTTTCTAGCTTTCCTTGATAGCTAGGTGGTGACTCCTTCTCGCTTCGCAAGCCTCCGTCGATAGTAAGTACGCTTATATTTTGACTCTTATAGAAGAAAGATTAAAACTTATTAAAGATGGGAGTGGTGATTTGGTTGATTCAACTAATTTTAAAAGATTGGCAAAAAGCTTGGAGTATTTAACGACTACTTGACCTAATATCATCTAGGGCGTTGGCATTACTAGTAGATTTATGAAGACTTCGCATCAATCTCATTTGCAAATAGTAAAGCACATGTTGAGATATGTCAAAGATACACGAAAGTGAATGCATATTTTATTCTTATACTAATAATGTGGAGCTTGTTGGATATATAGACAATGATTGAGCTAGTGATATAGAAAAGCAAAAAAGTACTTTGGATTATATATTTTTTTTTATCTTGGTTCTATTATGTTCTCTTAGTCATCAAAGCAATAACAAATAGTTGCTCTTTCAACGGTTGAGGCGGAATATATTACGGTTGAAAGTTGTGCTACTCAAGTCGTGTGGTTACCGAGTTACAACATTTTCAAAACAAGTCAACAAGAATCTTTTCGACAACAAATATGCCATTGCATTAATAAATAACCTAGTCTTTCATGTTCTCGAGCAAACACATTGACATAAAGTACCATTATATCTATGATTTGGTGAAAGATTAAGAAATCATTGTTGAGTTTTGTTCATCCGAAGTTCAAGTTGATGATATCTTCACAAATCCATTAAAAATTGATTTGTTCTTAAAGTTTAAGAAGATGATAAGCGTGAAGAAATTCGAATAACTTGGTTTAAGAGAGAGTGTTCATAATTAGACCAAGTTTGAGCAGAATTAGAATTGGTATTCTAAGTTGAGTCAATATCCTAGTTGAGTTAGTATTCTAACCTAGAAGATGCAACTAGCTTGGCTAGAAACATATATAAATAAGGTTGCTACCTAAGCAAAAGAGGTGAACGAGACAAATTAAAAGAAGCATAAGCTATGTATGGGTGGTCGTGCATATTGCTTTCAAAGGGTTTTTGTTCTTTGTGTTTTTTTAAAAAAGATCGAGTTGCACTCAAGAGAGTTGCCTTGAGCGAAAGGAGCTCTAATCGTCTAAATAAGTGGCTTTGAATTCGAATCCTTGTGTATGCATAAAAATCTTTTGATAGTTAAGCCCACCTTGTGTGCTTGATCAAACAAGTAAAGGATTAGTCTAAATTTTTAGGTTTAGGATACCTTGAGGATCGGAAAAAAACACCAAGTTACAACCTGAATTAATTTTCAATAAAGTGCATTTAGGAGTTTTGGGTATTTTATTTTTCATACATACTCTAACCAATGAAAAATGTGTGATTTTTTCACTAATTTCATGTCAAATTAAATCATAAGTTCACGTCATTTAATTTGGTTGGGATAAAAACTTCCCAAACTCCGATGAAGAAATAACTTGCGTTAACCCTATAGTGTTTATAGAGGACAAACACGATATAAAAAGAAACAATAGACTATATACCATAAAGAACTAGATTTATCCAATATTTTGACTAAAAAGAATATAATTGTATAGTAAAAGAGTATTATTTTGACAAAAAGAAAAAGAGGCAGAAGATGAAACGAAGGATTAATTTGAGGGCAACATAACTACTGAAAATGATGGAAAATATAATATATCAATACATGTTTAGTTTAATCCATCAAATGGATTAATTTGATAAGTTTCGAGTTCAACTCTTTTCTTTCCCATCTTATAAATTAACATAAAAATAAATGTAAAGTACAACAGTAAGTAAGAAAAAGATTAAATGGTGTCAATTTTCTTCTCCAGGTAAATCATTCTGCAAAACCACAAGATTAATCATTCTTAACCTTTTTTTTTTTTTTTTAGGGTTTTGGAATTGCTTTTCCTGGATGGCATCGCCTGGGCTAATGTGGTTATCAATTCTTAGAGGATTGCAAATATCCAGGCTAGGCTTGGACTATTATTAGGATCAGATTATAAAGACACCCCAAAACAAGCCCACAATAGAGGCCTGCACTGAAGCCCACTGGTCCTTGTCCTAATCGGTTACAACGGCTGTCGTTTTTCCAGTCATTTCCCGGGAAACAAACAGAATGGTGAGAAACGCTATTTTCGTTGGCATCACAATCTGGAATCCATGTAACCATAGAACTAGAGAAAAAGAAAAGAGTGAATTCTTCAAGAGATGGCTATTTGCACGTGTCACAATCTAGGCCGTCCATTAATTGTTCCTCTCAGTTTGACTAAAATTCCCTCTCGAAACTGCAAGTTCTCAGTTCAGAGTTGCAGTTTAAGTTCTAATCAATCCCAAAAGGTAATTAATACTGATTCTTCAATCTCATGCTTGGTTTCTTTTTATTTCTTCTAGGTTTTTGTTTGTTTTCTTAGAAATTTTTAAAACAAAAAAATGAAAGAAAATCTTGCATTTTATAGTCCAAGAAATTATATTGTTTCTTGAATTTCTTTATTGTTTTGAAATCATAACTTCATTTCCTTTTTAAATAAGCACTGTTTTGTTGTCTTTGCAATCTTTTTTGAGTTGTTTCGAATTTGGTGGATTATTTTGGTGGGATTTAGAAACTGGTTGTTGAAGTAAAGGAGAAGCTTGGAAGAGATTACCATAGTCTTCCAGTAGGAAAAAATGGAAGAGATGATGAAGAAATGATCCTTTGGTTTCTAAAAGACAGGAAATTTTCTGTCGATGAAGCTGTTTCAAAATTGACCAAAGCCATTGTATCCTAAACTGTTGCTTTTTTGTTCTTTATATGGTATAACGTTTATTATATCTTTAAAGGGTTTGAATTTGCTACTAATGAATGGTTTCATTCGTGGAAATGTGTAAGTGAAGGTATCAGATTGCTGAATTAACAGCCATGGAGTTGTATTTTCTGTACTTACAGTTTTTTGTGAGCTTGTTGGATTTGGTGTAGTTTTCCTTCTACACTTACTAGAAATGGCGTGCAGAATTTAGAGTGTCGGAACTGTCTGAGGAGTCGGTGAAAAGTATAGCAAACACTGGAAAAGCCTATGTGCATGATTCTCTTGATGTCTATGGAAGGCCGGTGCTTATGGTGGTGGCATCCAATCACTTTCCTGCTGTAAGTTCTTAAGTTCAATAAACCCTTCATATTATATGAATCTTATCACTTTCACATGATTATTGATGTTAGTTAATCATCCCTACGGTCATTGAAAGAAACAATAAGTTGTAATTGCTTTGCATAAATGTGAAATATTGCTAAATCTAGAATGCCATGGATATGTCTCCCCTGCCTTCAGTTTTAGAAGCCATAATCCAAAATATCGACCTCGTGAATGGAGAGCTAAGTTTGGAAAATAATAGATAACCGGGAACATTTCTCTGACTGAATTTTTGATAGGATATGTTTGGACGGTCTTGGACAGGGCCAGCTCTTCCACCCTTCATGTTAATGATCATCACTCTTTCATATTACAGTACATCTTCTAGGTTCTAATTACATATTGGAATCCCAAAATCGACAATGAATTTCAAAAGGATCTCAAATGACCTTCTGATTATCACTGGTTGAATCAATTTTGATAAGATTTGTTTGCTTCTTTTCTGACTGAATTAAGAGCTCGTGCCCCTTCAATGAAACATTACCGAACTCTGTAAATCACTGTTGATCTTCTAATTATGTTTTCAAATTACTATAGAATTAATGGTCTGATGAAGACTATGTTCTCAATGTCTTGTTAATGCAATCTTTTTAACTCTAACAAAGATTAATATGGATTGGCTATTATTTGTTGTCTTCTGTCATTGTTTCTAATGATAAGCATAAATTACTGATGGCAGGTGCATGATCCTATTGAAAATGAGAAGCTATGTGTTTTTCTAATTGAGAAGGCACTGCAAAAGCTTCCAGCTGGAAAAGAACAAATATTAGGAATATTTGATCTCCGGGGATTCAGTAATGAGAACGCAGATCTTAAGTTCTTGACCTTTCTGGTAATTTTCACAATCAACTGATGATTTTGGATGACTAGTTGCAATTTCGCAAATGTGATTGTTGCTGCTTTGGCCACTAAACTGTTGTTTTAATTTATAATTATGCTGGAAAAATTATACACAAGTAGATGATTATTTACAAATTTGTCTGCTTTCCAAACATTTAGAGGAAAATGCTTTTTCCCCCTTCCTTTCCCTAAGAAAAAGCAGCAAAGTCCAGGCAATTTTATGAGTTGGCTTGCATATTTCAACTGCATCTGACCAGTACTTCTGTTTTGGGTTTTGTGTTCTTCAATGTTAATATTATTGCTCCTAAAGAGATAGTGATTCTGTTATGAAAGATATCTGAAGTAGAAAGTTCTCAAAACCTCTTTCTTTTAATGTTACATGAAATATGATTGCAGCAACTGCACAGCAACTATATTTTGGACAACATGGGTTAATTGGTTACTCAAACTTTTGGCAGTTTAATGTATTTTACTACTATTATCCGAGTCGGTTGGGCCAAGTCCTCTTTGTGGAAGCTCCCTTCATATTTAAGCCAATTTGGCATGTGGCCAAGCCTTTGTTAAGATCATATGCGTCTCTGGTATGCCATTCCTATTCTCTCATAATTCTCTAGTAATGTTTGAATATCAAACTGACCTATAAGAACTTGATATTAAGTTTAGAAAACATGGGTATAGGTATAGAATACGGTTGCAATACTGTACGGATGTATGATTTAAGAAAAGGAAGTTATGTTTGTAGATACATAATCAAATAAACAAAGGTGTATGTATGTGTATTTGAATTTTGTTCATTTTTGAATATACAAGTGATGATTACCAAGTACAAATTACAACACAGCTATAAAGCAACCATTCTTTGGACCCAGAGCGAACTGTTTTTATTGGCACTCGTAATATGAATATTAGCATTAAAGTTTTCATCTTCCCTAACTTATGCGTAAGTATTACCTATTCAACATCATGTCATTTTAGTTTGAAGTTGCAAAACTCAGATGTACATTACTTTAAACAATAGTATTTCTACAATGAGAAAAAAATCAAGTTCTATCAATGAACTATCTATCTCTTATGTATTTGGTAGTGAACTTATAGAATATCTCAAAGTAGATGAAATTAAATTCTATGTTCTATTTGCTTTTCATACAGAGTATATGATGTATGTGAGGTGAGTATTATCATATAATATCGATTAGTATAGTGCTTTGTTATGTGAAACGTGGTTCAGAAGAAGCGGTTCAGCAGTTGCTGCAGTTGTTTGGTACTATGGTGGTCCTCCCTTCTGCATGTTGTTATTGATTTCAGTTATTTGCATTTTTCTGAAGGCGAGCTTTTGTTCTGTGGAAACGCTGAGGAAGGAGTACTTTACAGAAGAAACTTTGCCAACAAACTTTAGAGAGTGAAGGCACTCAAAAGTCCTTGAGCTTCCATTCTGCATGCTTGGGGCATGGAGTTTTATAACAAAAACAATTTACTGAATGGTGCTGACCATACACGTCTTTACAAGAGAAACTTACTCGACCAATCAGATATTACTCGTGATTCTTTTAAATAATACATAGAAAGAGCATTGGAATATAATGTAATGTTTGTATTAAGAATGAAAGGATTCTTATATCTACAATGCTGTATCTATTCTCACATCACATGTATTCCTGACAGAAAAGAAATGAGTTTATAGACTTAAGCAATTGCAGTTACTTTGTTTGTGTCATCTCGAGGACTAATAAATTTACATGCTTTTTCACTAGTGCAATCAAGGCATGGCTGCTGCTAGACATGCTTTATGTACAATGTGAAAACAGAAATTATATCTAGCTTCTTTGGAATACAATTTTGGTTGCAAGTAAATGGCATAAACCAACAGGTTCGAAAAGGGTAAAAAAGCTGCCTTGGAATGATAAACTGGAAAGCAAAGCCAGCATATGGATATTCCATCAAAAGAACAAAAGAAGCAGAAAAAACATCGCTGTTATACATTTCATGATCAGATCAGCCAGTACGCAACCTAGCTTAGTCGTTATGCTACAAAATGTCATTATCCCAGCTTCGTTCATTTGTTACAATTGAGTCATAGAAAACCCACAACGGTAGGGACAAAGTTGTAAATTCGTTTTCCGGACATGATCCAGTAGTATTAAAACAGAACAAAGGCTGTTGATTTGAGTTGCTAATCGGGCTGAGAGACAGTGAGAGGGATGGAGAAATCAAGGTGGTGGTCGGTACTGATACCAAGTATTGTAGTGTTGAATTTGGTGGGTCTTGGCAAGGCGATCGAATCGCCACAATATGCAGTGGTGCATGAAGAATCAGATTTTGAGGTCAGATTATATGTGAATTCCACATGGATCTCTGCTCCAGTTTTTCAACTCTCCTTTGAGAAATCCACCTTGCATGGCTTTCACAGGTAACTCCGTTTCTCAACAACTCCATCAATTTTATATGCAGATGTAGTTTGATTTTTTTATTGCTTAGAGAAAAGGAAAAGCTTGATTTTTTTTTCCTTTTGACACTTTGGTCTTTTGGTATTTTTCACAACAGATATTTGTTTGGTTGCTCACTCGTTTTACGATCTTAGAGAATTAAGAGTACTGAAAAACCTGCGGTTGCTGAGAAAGTGGGAAAATGAATAAACTTGGGATTTGATTTTGAGTCATGGTTTTTTGTTTCGGTATTGTGCGTTTTAAAAATGCTCGCTTGTTTTATTTTCATCTTTCTCATTCAAGCAAGGAAGCTTTTTGCAAAAATAGGTAAGTTGGCTTGACAGAGGCAAGGAATCTACAATCTTAGCAAGCTTGCTTACATGAACCCACTCTCTCTCCAGTTTTTTGAACCAGGTTCCATAGTCAAATGGTATTCTAGTTTTAGGAACACGGTGGAAATAGTGGAACATTTAGGAACAAAGTCAAAAACATGACAGCTGCTTCCTTTAATCAGAATGGTAAAGGTTTATTTAGGATGGATTGTATCTCCTTTCTATGTCCAACTGTTGGGATATGCACCCTATCAACCATAGCCTCGGTAGATCCAAAGTTTACCAGGCATTTATATTCTGTAATTTCTAAATCCTCCTTTGGAACTCTAATTCATTTGTGCTAGATAGTATCCTGTTGTTCTTTTATCAGGTTGTTTCAATACACCCAAGGTGCCAATCTTAACTATTCGAGGATTGCAATGACCGCTCCTGTTGTGACTAGCATAGTCCCAGGAGCTGGGCCCTTTAGATCATCAGCCTTTGTCGTCCGATTTTACTTACCCGTGAAATTCCAAGCTGACCCACCTGTCCCCCTTGATGAACTGCACCTGAAACCTTACATATGGAACAGTCGCTGTGTTGCTGTGAGGAAGTTCTCTGGATATGCGAATGATGAGAATGTTGTAAAAGAAGCAAAAAGACTCGCTGTCAGCTTGAGCAGGTCTCCATGGGCCAACTTAACTATTGCTGAAAGCAATTATTCCTATTCCATTGCGCAGTATGATTCTCCATTCCAGTTCATCGGTCGTACCAATGAAGTATGGGCAGACGTAAAAGCATCCGGAGCAAACAGTTGTAAATCCAGTGGAATTGCCTCATACTGAAGAATTGTAGACTGAATAAGCATGAAAGTTTGAAATCTGTCTCTCTTATGACCAAAGTGTCAAATGCAAAAGATAAACTATAGTAGTTTCCTTATCCTTGTAGATATGCTATCAAGTCATGTAAAACATGTAGTCATCTGGATTCCGGTTCAGCTTGTAAGTTAATACCATATAAACTTAATGGATTGTGTAATATTTTGCCTTTTATGAGGATCTTTCTTTGTTAAACATGTTGGTTCGTGGACAGTGAACTTCATTTTAGAGAACAGTGCATAGCGCAAGAGAGAACCAAACTTATTTTCGTGTTTTATGAGCATCAGAATGATGTTTTATGTCCCTGCAAGACCTCCAGATTTCTTATATCAGCTTGCAAATTGCCAAAATTGCAATAAAGCTGTTAGTAAATGGAAGGTCCATCCACTCCTATGTTCTCTGTACTGCCAGGTGAATATTTTGAACACCGAGGCAATCTCAGTGATAAGAAAATACCAACTAATCTCTGCAAACGTATTATCTGCTCGAACTGGTTTTTAGGTGTCAGCTTTCTAGATAACTGGAATTTAACCATTGGATTATGCATATCACTAACTTGGGATCAATTGTTTTAAATAAATCATTACGTGATCCTCAGCCCACACAATCAAGTCTCAAGCAGTTGAAACTTGGATGCCCCTCGGAAGAAATAGGTACCAGCGAAAACAATGCTGCAGTGCACCCTTCTTTATCATTCAGTAAATGACACAGGCTATTTCATCTGTGACAGTTTGCGTCAAAGTCAGAACCCCATGACTCTTTTCGTTCAAAATTTTGAACATGTATGGCAAGTAACAGTGAGAGTTTTTTGACCTGTGGTTGCTAGTTTGCGGACTGCAAAAAATGCACCTGTAGATGATATGAACAAGAGTGGCTGGGATAGCAACAGCCAACAAGCGTCAAAATGGGCAAAGAGAGGAATAAAGATTAAGCAACAAAGCCACGCAGACAAACTTCCCATAAAATCTATTCAACAAACTCTCCACCTGAGTTTGAAGAATCATTCACTAATTTTTACTTGAGATCAACATGCAGTACAGAATTTTAGACAAGGAAAGTAATAATAGAAATCAAATCAAAGAAAAATAGAAGACATTTCCATATGCACACTACACTGCAGGGCTTTCATGCAGTTGCAAGCAACACGAAATGGAGATTGAAACTTCAAGAAGTTGTTCGAAATATCTTGTTTTCATGCTGATATTCTCCCATTTGACAATATCTTGTTTCGTGTTGATATCATTGATAGCATTGTTGCCTATCACAATCATTTTCGACTAAAGACACCATCTTAAGTTAGAAGACTAGCATTGTGCAGTCATTCTTGAACCACAAATCCAATCGACAAAAAGGATTGTTAATTAGAAATTTTTCTAACAAGTACAACTGCAATGTCATGAATATATCTAATCTAATAGAATAAATGAATTGTGGTTGCGCAGAAAGGTATCTCACAATTCTGTTACCTAATGTTGTTATGACCAAACATTAGTTTGGTCGGCATTTAGGATGATCATAAGACGGCAAAGATAGTCCTACAGCAGGAATCTTCTTCCCCAGCATAGGCAGCTTAATTTGACTATAGTAAACAATAAATGAAATAAACATGCAGAAGTAAAAAGAACAAAAGGACACAGGAACGTATAACCCCTTACTTTTCAGGGATAAAATGCTTGTTTCAGTATTGCTTGGCCATGGTTTCTCCACTTCAACAAGTGAGGCTCCTAATGTCCAAGATAGATCCCCAGGACCAAACACTATTTCTTTATCACCAAGACACAAAGCATCCTCAATGAGGGATGCCGTATATGGTACCTGGAAACAATAATCTCCAATGTTGTTTCTAGAAGTGTTACTCAAGTCAGACCATGATGTCAAACACAATTGCTGACCCTTCTCCCAAATCTTAGTCAAATTACCTATTGGAGCCAGATGTAACATATGGTAAACAGCAAAAAATCCAGATAAAGCATGAAATCGTCTAGTCGGGTGGGTGCTAGGTATAAAATTTAGAGTTTCACTGCCTGCGGAATACAAATGGAAGTTACAGAAACAATTTTTTGCATGCATATCTCTAATTTTAACGCAATGAGAAAAGGCAAGCATTGTTTAAGAAGCATACTGCATAAAACCTCTGGTTGGAAAAGACCAATTAAGAACAACTTTCCTTCAATTAGTAAGTTTTGCTTTAACTGTTGAAGAAAATTGAGAGGCAAAGTTATATCTTCTCACGTACTTATGTAGGTTACAATAAGTACTAGAGTCAGAGTTGGAAACTACCTAATCTAAGGATAGAGATAATCTTAGCTAGAGTCCCTTAAATTAAGGGATAACATTAACACCCCTAATATCTATCAAATAATAATAATAATTATATTTACAGCTGATATAATCTCGACACTCCCCTCAAGTTGAGGAATAGATATCTTCCATTCCCAACTTGGAAATATTATCATAAAAATTGGAGCTATTCCACCTTTTGGTAAGAACATTTACGAGTTGGTACCTAGTAGGAACATAAGATAAGCATACTAATCCCTCCTCCAGACTTCTCTTTGATAAAGTGCATATCACTCTCAATATGCTTAGTCCTATCATGTTGTATAGGATTGTGAGCATTGTTAATATTAGATTTGTTATCACAATAAAGTTTCATAAGACCTTCTCACTTGATTCTCAAGTTGTCTAGGATAATCTTTAGCCACAACACCTCACACCAAGCTTAAGCAATTGCTTTGAATTCTGATTCGGTAGATAATCTAGCCACAACATTCCGTTTTTTACTCCTCCATGTTATAAGATTACCTCCAAGGAACATACACTAACCGATAGTTGATCTTCTATCTATTATAGATCCTCCATAATCTGCATCGGTGTAGACTTCAAGGGCAAGATCCCTTTGTCTTTTGAGCATGATTCCTTTTTCCGGATTTCCTTTCAAATAATGTAACACTATAAGCGGCAAATTGAATGGCCAGGCAAAACAAAAGGAAATCAAACGGATAAATAGAGAAGAAGAAGAAGAGATGGTCGTGAGAGAAACGCACAACATATCTACAATGTAACCGAATTTGAATAAACAAGTAATTAAATAGTGAAAACCTTTATTCTTTTACTTTTGTTTGTTAATTGTTAATGATAAGAAACTTGCATCCATTGCTAATGCTCAATAATGTAGATACAATGATGTAATATAATACATCTTGCATGTAAATACCAACTTGATTTTGAGTCCTCGAATGAAATTTTTACATGTATTATGTACCACCATTGGTAGGTGCTCTTGCCCTAACACTATATTATTATTATTATTTTTAAAGATAATTATTAGAAAAACGCTCCAAAAAAATCTTTTATCTAAAAAACCCACTAATTTATTTTTAAATTTCTCAAACTCAAAATAATATTTTCTTACCAAAACACCCAACGAGTTAATATATATATTAATTTTCAGAGATTTAAAAAATAAATTGATGTTTTTAGATGGAATATTTTTAGAGGTTTTTTTAGTGACTATCTAATAATAAGCTTATTTTATAATTTTTAATGAGTTTGATGTTGATTTTTTTTTTATATAATGATCAAGTTCAAGTTATTTTTTATTGCAATCAAAGACAAAAAAAAGTTTTTGAGGTTTTTTGACTACCGGCACACGACCTTCGACTATTATTTTTTTATTATACTAAAAAATATCTTATGTATGAGTTTTTATTTTTTTCTATCAAGTGTTTGTTTCATCAATTACAAGATTATTTTTACTATCTAGTAACTATAGCAATTGATGTAATTCAACTAATTAATATTGAATGAAATCAAACTCATGCTATTCTCTTGTAATTTAATATAAGGATTATCATACAAATAAGAAAAGCAAGAACATGTATGATTATGAAAATTAATGATCTCTTAAATCCTAATATATTGATAGAAAAAATCACTACCAATATTGCTAGTTTTTAATTAACCAAAACTCAATATTTTTTTATTAAACAATTAAATTAAATTACAAGATGAATGTATAACATATTTTAAGGCATTAATTACATAGAACATGATCATCCATAGTAGAAATACATATCTTGAAAGATAATAGTTTCATTTAAGTTAGAGATAATTATTAAAAAACCTTATAAAAAAATTCATCTATTTAAAAAATCCATCAATTTATTTTGGAATCTCCCAAACCCAAAATAATATGAGCATCGTCATATTATTTTGGGTTTGAGAGATTTAAAAATAAATTGATGGATTTAAGATCATATTATTTTGGGTTTAGGAGATTTAAAAAATAAATATTTAAAAATAAATTGATGGATTTTTTTAAATATAAAATTTTTTAAAAGGTTTTATTATTTTAGGTTTGAGAGATTTAAAAATAAATTGATGGATTTTTTAATAGAAGATTTTTTTAAAAGGTTATTTTGATAATTATCCTAAAAAAATTAATTTTCTTTCCTTTGGGTTTAATTGTTTTGTTTGTTTTTTTTTTTTAACTTTATTTTTCTTGCATACAATTATAGCATCATCATTATTCATAATTAACAAAAACATTTAACACATTTAGAGTCATCCTTCTTCCTAAAAAAAAAAAAAACAAATGCATATTCCAATTGGTTTTATTTTTCCTTTTTCCGAGTTAGAAAGAAAGAGAGAGAAAAAAGTCGATATCAAATATCAGGGTCACAGCATCGAACACCTCTCGCTTCTTCTTCTTCTTCTCCTTCCTTTCTCTCTTTTCTTCTCTCGCGGATCTAAAAAAAATTATATATATAAAAATATAAAATAAAAGACAACCCTTCACTCTTTTCAATCGTTGCTTTCACCCTGCACGGATCTCTCTCTTTCCCTTCCCTTCCCGATCTCATACGAAACCTGTGAGAAAAATTTCTCTTTTTTCTCTCTTTCCACTTTTTACTATCTGCTAGGGTTTCGGAAAAAATCTAATCAAAGAATAATAAAACAAGAGAAATCAAATCTCAGGCAAGTAGTTTTCTATTTACTTGATTGTTTAATATTTTACATGTCTGTTTGCTTGCCGAGAAATTGCCGGAGAAGGAAGGATAATAGAATCGTTTTATTTTTTTATTTTTTTCTTCCGAATTTGTACTTAGCCAGTGTGTTTTACGTGGTGTTGTTTAGTTTCTTTTTTCTGTATAAATGCGATTGATTCGATTCTGTGTTTATTTGAGCGAGTTTCGTAGATTTTCTATAGAGTGTGTGATTTGATCTTCTAATTACTCTTAGCTCTAACATAAAAAAAATTGACAGTACTTTTTTTTTTTTTTGTTTATTTGATTACAGTTATCGAAAGAGCTTTATTTAATTTTCTATGGATTCTAGTTAAAACGAAACTGTAGATTGGAATTAAATGTTGGTGATAAAAGAGGAACCTTTTGCATTTTGGGTTCAGAATATCATAGGTGAACCGTGAGTGTACGATAGGGCATTACTTTACGGTTTAGAATATTGAGAAATCTAAATTCTGTTAAATGTGAAATTTAAGAATGGTGTTGAGAGGTTATGCATGATTAACAAACGTTTGGGATTTAGCAAGTTTTTCTGTAATGCATTATCAAGGAAACGTGGCATGAATTGTTTTTCCTCTATAGAACACTCAACTCTACTCTGTCTGCTCCCCACAAAGCTATATGAGGTCGGTTGCATGAGTTCTCTTAACCACAAGTTTTTGATGCACAATTTTAACCACAAAGCTATATTTTAGTACTTTTTTTTTTGGCTTTTGTTTCATATGGAATGAAATTTTAGACATTGATGCAATTTTGTTTGTGCATTTTTTTGTTTTATTTGTTTAAAATTGTGAATGATCGAGTGAAGAAGTGTTTGGTGGCTTTAGCAGAATATTAGGCCACCAGTAAAATACCACTTTCTAAGGTGAATATAGGATAAGAGGAGACTTGAGGGTTGGAATGTCGAATAAATTTAAACTTTGTGTTTTTATGAAGTGAGTTCCAAATGATGCTGTTTGTAGTTAGGAAGGGATTGGGATTTAGCTATTTTTGATAATATGTTATGAAGAAAATTCGGTGTTCATTAGTTTTCTCTGTAGAACACTAACTCAATTAAGTCTCCCCTCCTACATTAGAGGCCAGTTGAATGAGGGTTTTTCCTTTCATAACAAATGAAGTATATGATTACTGGTAGACAACAAGTTTTTGATGTTCAATTAATTCAGCTATGGTTGTGTTGGTTGGGTTTTGTTTCATGTAGACAGAAATTTGTTTCATATGGACTAAGATTTCAGAAATATATGCAGTCTGTTCTGTGCATGATTGTTAGCCCCCTTTTTCTTCTCTTATTGGAGACGGAAAATTATGTATATCATTATTTGTTGCACATAAAATTTTTGCCATCCTTTTACCATGTTCTTTATTGTCATACATCATATTGATGTAGTTTTATCTTTTCTTTATCTTCCTAGATTGTGTCAAAGTCTTTTGGATGACCTTGTCAAGACTACTGAATTATGTCATCAAGCATGTTGCCCGGAGAGCGCAGGTATGGAGTTTATATGCGTTTTCCATGCCCTTTGAAATACACTATCATCTTTTAGCACGTGTTTGGTTTTGCATGGTCAGTGTGGGAGGACAGAGTTTTTTCCTCATGGTATTGATATTGCGCCTCTATCAACTCATGCAATATTGCCTTAGTGGGGCATTGCCATTGTATCAAGATTGTTAGGTGCACCATACTTCTTAGAGTCCATGCAGTTTTTGTATCGCATTTGACATATTCACATTTAAGAGTGTTGTGTTTTGGGTGTGGCAGTGCGGGTGTCTGTATTTATGTTTTATGTTTGTGCTGATGGATAGCTTCTGACCTTTATGTTTGAATGGTTTTGTACTCGTGGTTATTGGATATAACCAGCAATTTTTTATTTACTGTTATCTAAAAATGATTGTCTGCAGATATGCTTCTGCAAGAAGAGGTAGCATGACAGTTTTGGGGAAAATCGCTGTTCCAAAACCAATAAACCTACCCAGCCAAAGGTATTTAAGTTTCTGGTGAATAAATTGTAGTTCAATATAACGAGGCTCTTGGCTTCCTCCAATAAAGTTTCATTTTTCATCTCTGATGTTTCAAGGTTAGAAAATCATGGTCTGGACCCGAACGTCGAAATTGTGCCCAAGTGAGTAGTTCATCTACCATTCTGGTTTCTGATGCCCTTTTCTGGTTCTCCTGCTATTATTCTCTTTATTCCTTATGATGCCTTGATGCTGTTACTTTATTTCTTCAGTATGAACAAATGTATTTGGCTCAACTTGATCCATATTTGCTTCCTAAACTTGACAGGGGTACCCATAGCTGGGGCACAAGATCATCTTCTTCCACACCTAATGCCTGGGGTTCTTCAGCGCTGTCTCCAAATACCGATGGTGGTAGTGGTTCACCAAGCCATCTAAGTGGTCGCCCTTCATCTGGTGGAAGTGGCACTCGACCATCAACTGCAAGCAGTGACAGAACCCACGAACCCATTGCTAATGCATGGGGTTCAAATTCTAGGCCATCTTCTGCATCAGGAGCATTGACATCAAATCAAACATCACTCACATCGCTCCGCCCACGCAGTGCAGAGACAAGACCTGGTAGCTCCCAGTTATCCCGATTCGCTGAGCCCTTGTCTGATAATTCAGTTGCTTGGGGTGCAACCGGAACGGCAGAAAAGTTGGTATGGTTTTCTTAAAGACCGCTTTTTAAATCATCTCATAGTATTCGCTTTTTAAATCATCTCATAGTATTCGCTTTGAAATGAAATTTTCTGCTTTCTTTTGCATCAAGAATCTGCTTGGATAACTATTATGAACATATGGCATATATTTTGTTTATGTAATGTTTGCTGGCAAAGTTTGTGCATTTCTTTTTTGGCACCTTCCCTGTTATTTCAGTTCTTTGTATAGGTGGGCAGTTTCTACCCTGACCCAACCTTTGAAACAAATGCGGGAACCAATGTAGTGAAAAAGGAAAATAGCATCAATCTGGCAATAGCTTTCTGAATTGCTTGAGGCACTTGCTGCTAAAATGGTGTTTGTTCGAGTGTAGTAGGCAGTAGGTCCTTAACTTAGTTGATTATATAGCTAGTAATATCTAGAATGGTAGCCATGAGACATTAATGAAAATTTTTGAGTGCTTCTGTTGGTCAACCCCACAGCAGTTCACAGGCAGTGATTATAATAGGACTGTCTAAGTCATATGGAGGGTTATATGCATTAGAAGGTATTGTAATTAAATGGGTGTGAAGTTTGTTGTTGGTTTTAATTGCAATTGGTAGCCCTAGTCTCTAAAACCTCTCTTATCAAGCTTCTTTTTCAATCCATTTGTTGAATGCTTTCTCTTTGTATTATAAATGCATGTAGCAGCTTCCTCATGTGATCTCTTAACCTACTATTCCAATCAATGAACTCAAACCCAGATGGGCATCCGCATGCTAAATTGTAATGGTTGTAGCTAGAAAACCCCATGTTTTCACAGTAGAAAACCATATTGATCAGTTAAAAGTTATCCACACAAGGTTATGGCTTCCCAATCCCTTGGGCAGCTGTACATTTTCAAATTGCCATTGCTATCCAATGCCAATACATATATCTGTTCTCCATAATTACCATTTTTTTCGATACATGTCTGCAAAGGGCTGCTTGTCATTGTAAAGTTTTTGGGTTTACTCATTGACTATCTTTTTGTTATAATAAGAACCTCTAAGCAACTTGTTAATCAACACATTTAATGGAGGATGTAAATTGTTTGCTAGAAAAACTATGAAATGGTAGGTGTTACAACATAGTAAATTCAGGGTTCAAGGGAAAACTCTTTAAAAAGATAGGTAATGAGGCATAATTGAGTGTGCTGTGTGTTATATATGTGTGTGACTTTTCTTGATTTTATTCTACGAAGAAAGTCTTAGTCATTTATATTACAAATTATGGTTATTTTGATGATGTCTTGAAGAAAGAGTAGTTGACACTACGAGTGGTTTACTCATAAAAAACATTGGGTTAGACCATTTGGTCCATGTGTGGGCATAGAATTGTTCATGTACTCACATCCTATGTGCTTGACCATTCTCAACAACCCAAGCCAAGGCCAAACTAAATTCTATCTGGGTTTCTTGGTTTGGCTTTTGCTTTTTTCTTTTATTAATTTTACATTGCCTGATTTAGTGTTATAACTGCTATACGTGTAGGGAGTGACATCCTCTAAGAAGGACGGGTTTTCTTTGACTTCTGGAGATTTTCCAACGCTTGGATCAGAAAAAGAAAGCTCTGGGAAAAACACGGAGTCCCAAGGTTCATACTTATATTGCCTTGTCCTTAATACTATTAAGTATTGATAAGAATTTGGGCTCAGTCTATGATTGGTTTATTGCTTTTAGAACTGCAGTGCTTTTTACAGTGCCTAGAAAATTCCCATCGTTTTTTTGTCTTTTAATCACATGTAGCACAATTGCCTTGGTAGGTATCACCAAGATGTATACATTGTAATATAAATGACATGTTGGTATTTCCAAGATCTTATATTTATTAGAGTAATGCTACTTGTTTTGATATTAAAAAACTACGTAAATTTTCTTTTCAGTGAGGGTCTGAGGGAAGACTTCTTGAATTGGCAATTTTTGTTTTTTCTTTGACATCGGTATATGTACGAGTCATACATATTTTTGAAGAATTTTTTATGCCAATCTTAATCTCAAATAATGTTCACACATAAGATTTATACGTATGGATGTAGTAATCTATTCTAATTGCATGTTTTCCATTTATGACCTGTCAAATACATCAAAGATACTGATTCTAAACTATTTAATTGCAGACCATGGTTCTTACAGTCATCCTGGTTCATCATCGGGTGGAGTAGCTCCAGAGAAAGAGAGTACTGGAAATTCTGCAGGTTTGTGTTTTTTGCACCACTCTTATTTCATATAGGAATGCTGCCATCTCTTTTGTGATGTATTCTTGTGCTCTTGTGTGCGTGCCTTGCATGTGACAACCGCCACTGCCTGACTAAATATAAACAAGTCATACCTTTTTTTTTTTTTTCCCCATTCTAATTTTCAGGCGATGCGTCTATAAACACAAATGCAATTGACTCTTCAAATTCTTGGAGGAGAGAGAATCCCATGTATGGTGAAGATGGATTGAGGCATATGGAGAAGTGGCACCCTGATCCCCAATCATATCCTAATTCTAATATTCGTCCTCAGAGTTATGATTCTTGGCGTGGTCCCCCTGTAAATAATCATCCAGGTGGTGTTTGGTATAGAGGGCCTCCAGGAGGTCCACCATTTGCGCCCCCAATAGCACCTGGTGGCTTTCCCATGGAGCCATTTCCTTATTACCGTCCGCAGATTCCACCTTCTGCTCTTGCCAACCCACAACAAGGTCCTCCACCAGGACCTGGAACAAGAGGACCCCATCCAACAAATGGTGATATGTACAGACCCCACATGCATGATGCTTTTATTCGCCCGGGCATGCCATTTCGGCCTGGATTTTATCCAGGACCAGTTCCTTATGAGGGCTATTACGCTTCTCCCATGGGCTACTGCAATTCCAATGATCGAGATATTCAGTTTATGGGAATGGCAGTGGGTCCTGCTCCATATAACAGATATTCAGGTCAAAATGCTCCAGATCTCGGAAATTCTCATGGAAGATCTGGTGGATACGGTCCTAGTGGTCACACAATGGTTTCAGAACAAGTTGAATCGGGTCATCCACAAGATGCTCGTGTACCATACAAAGTCCTCCTGAAGCAGCATGATGGTTTAGAGGGAAAAGAAGAAGAACAGAAATGGGATGACATGATGACAACCAACACATCATATCCGGGGAAGGCAGATCATCAAAGAAAGTCATCATGGGAGAATGGCTGGAGAGCAGATGAGAAGATCAATGAAGAGAGGAATATAAGAAGGATTGGTGAAGAATTTTCTTCTGAGGCCATTGACAACCAAGGTGTTAAAGTGAAACCTCTTGAACATAAGGGAAATTGGAAGGCAGCTGATGACAGTTCAGTTAAGAAACTGGAACATGCAGAATATGCAGCATCTGCTTTTCCAGAAGTTTCAGCAGCCCCAAAAGATCCCAGCCTGATTAGGAAAATAGAAGGTTTAAATGCAAAGGTCCGGGCCTCTGATGGAAGGCAAGAAGTTAAATTTGTTTCCGGTAGAGAGGAGCATAAGAATAGGTTACAAGCTGGTAATGCCAAGTTTAATCATTCTGCAAACGAAGCTGGTACTAGTTATGCATCTCTTGAAAGGACTCATGTCAGTGGCATTATCAACACTGCTTCCCATGAAGACCGCATTTCTGCTGCAGATAAGAGCCTTGAGGTAACAGATGCTATTGGGACAGCAAGCTCCAGGTGTGTGTGATTTTTTCTGCAGGCTTTCATTGACAATGGATCTGTTATTCCAATGTTAGAAAACACTAATACTCGAATTCACAGGAGATCAACTCATGGTATGCATGGGAGACCTGATCAGCGTGGTAAGGGGAGATTCAGTACCCAAGAGACTGAAGGGAGAAGATCCCAAGGTGCAGACTTGCCGGGTGCATTGTCGGCTTCCCATTTTGAAAGTTCTAATGTTCATAGGCAAGACCATATTTTTGCGGAGGCAACTGAAATGTCTGGGGCATATCATCGAGGGAAGGATGATGAAGAATCTGTGCCACCCCACCCTGATCGCAGTGATAGCCAGACGCAAGTAATATATATATTCTTTTTTATTTTTTTTTCATAATTCTGTTTTTATTTATCAGCATCTTTATTTGCTATTGTGTCTTTAATCAGCGTGCTAAGATGAAAGAGCTAGCCCTTCAACGGATTAAACAGCGAGAGAAGGAAGAGGAGGAACGAGAGAGAGATCAAAAGGCCAAGGCACTTGCAAAACTGGAAGAGTTGAATAAGCGGACAAAGGCAGTGGAGAGTTTCAGTGAGGTGCTACCAGAGATGCCAAAGGCCACCCATAAGGAGTCCGTTGTGATACAAGACCAATTGGAGCCATTGCAACAGGATGTTAGTCACGCTGATGGTGATCACCTCGATAATGCCCCCCAGACTCATGACAGTAGGGCTTCTAAGCAGAAGCGTGCGAGCTACAGACAAAAACAGAATGGTCCCTTGGAAAAGACTTCCAATGATAAGTTAATGTCTCCTATAACCGAGACACCAAAAGATGTTGCTGATGTAGCAGTTAATGCTCCTGTTTCTCTTGAGGGTCCAAATGAAATGATCTCAAACTCTGAGCCGGCTTTGCCTGTCAACCCAACTGTCACGGCTGAGTCTTCAGTAAATCATAGAAGGAAGAACAGGACTGGAAAGAACAAGCACAAAGTGGAGGAGGCATCATCTACAGCAGTTGTAACATCAACCCTATCAAAAGAAACGACTGATTTAGACACGTCGGTTGAAAGTAGAAAATCCAAGGCTTCTGAATCTGTGTTGGAACCAAGCTCATTTCAGTTTCAGACTGATTCTAGAGACGGAAATCAGTCCTTGGATCAACGCACATCATCACCAAATGAAGAAGTTCACAGCAGAAATAACCAGTGGAAACCTCAACATTCTCGCAGGATGCAGAGGAATCCACAAGCTAATAAATCGACCGAGAAATCCCAAAGTGGCGATGCTGTTATCTGGGCTCCTGTGCGGTCTCAAAATAAAATTGAGGCTACCGATGAAGCCAGTCAGAGGACTCTGGCTGATGCCATTAGTCCACCCATGAAGAGTGATCAGCAAGTGCAGAATAATGCAAAAAATAAACGGGCAGAAATGGAAAGATACATTCCAAAGTCTGCAGCCAAAGAAATGGCTCAGCAAGGAAGTAGTCCCCATTCAGTGGCACCATTAACCAATCAGATTACACCAGATGAGACCATTGGAAGACCTGAATCTGGTTCTCTAGGTGTTGAAAGTTCTCAAAGCTCTGCAACATGCATGGGGAAGGTAGGATCCATTTTGGAATCTAAGAATGGGGATGGCAGGCAAAATAAGTCAGGGAAAATGCACTGTTCATGGCGCCAACGGGGATCAGCAGAATCAACCACATCTTTTACAAGTAGGAATGTTCAAACTGAATGGAATGACTCTGATGGCTGGAACATTCCTGAAAATTCTGAGGTGCCGGTCATTGCCCCTGCTATAAAAGATCAGAGTGCAACAGCCAGATGTAGGCGACAATCATACAGAGGGCAAAAAGGCATGGGATATAGCCATGATCCTGATGAGAAGAGAATTAATACTGGGGACACTGAAAAGGTTCATGTCCAAACTTTGGGCTCAGAGGTGCATCAAGCAGAGTTACCTGCAACTTCAAAAGAAAGTCGCATCGTTGGGGAACGATCAGCATCTCATTGGCAACCTAAATCTCATCAGTCATTTTCGGCAACTAACCAGCGAGGAAGCAGGACCAATGGTGGTCAGAACAGAGACTCTGAAGTTGGTAGGGGTAATAGAAAGGATTATTATTCCCAAAGTGGCATGCCATTGCTGCCTCAACCTGGCAAGGATATTGCTGCAGTTAAGGCCCAGCCTCACCCTGATCGCTCTCTATCTGAAAAGAGCAATTTGGAAGAAGCTCCTAGCACTGGGCATCAAGAGGGTAAGAAGGAAAGGAAGATAGCTTCACATAAAGGACGTCCTGTTAGCCCGGCTGAACCATCTCCTTTGAATATGGATTTTCAACAAGAGCAACGTGCGTCTTCAGGGTATCGAAAAAATGGAAGCCAAAACAACCGCTCTGGCAGAGAGCATGATTCCCGTGGTGAGTGGAGTGGTTATGGGAAAGATAACAAGCAACATAATGTGCCTGCAAACCGTGAAAGGCAGAGACAGAATTCACATTATGAGTATCAGCCAGTAGGGCCTCAGAATAGTAACAAAGCTAACAATTTTGAGTCTTCAAAAGATGGTTCTCATAATTCTGTTACAAGGCCCAGGGAGAGAGGTCAGAGTCACTCAAGGCGTGGTGGGGGAAACTCTTATGGGCGGCAAACTGGTAGTGTTCGAGTAGATGCCAATTATGATTAGGGTTGAAACTTTCAGATGGGTTCTGGTGTGTCAAAAACCATGCCTCCGTAGAAGTTTTGGCATGATCCCTAGCAGCTTTCAGGTATTTTAGTTTAGGTAGTCATTTTCAGTTGTAAATGATATTGGATCATGATCAACTGATGGCATATTAATTGAGCAGGGTTTGGAGCAAAGCAGATGGCTTCCAGAAAAATAAAGAAAGAAAGATTAGAGTCAGACAGGAGGCACATGGATGTGGTTGATTTATTTTCTTATTTTTCAAATGTATTTGATCTGAACAGTGTAATTTTGTCACTGTGTGTTTGTGGAACCCTAGATGTGTTTTGAGCGGTGTATCTAGTGATCTATATTCCTTTATATGAATGAACACCAGAAAGAATGAAGTAGAGGAGCTTTTCTGGTTCTCCCACTTTATCGCAATTTTCATCGTGGTCTCTATTCCTTGGCATATGACACTGTGATGTTACCGTAGATTTTTTTATTTTCATTTATTATTATGATGATGCCAATTGCTTTCTTCTATATTGGTCCTAAGGCTCGTCTTACCCTCGATTTTGTTAATTGTAAATTATAAAGTTGCTTCTGAAGGTGGGGTGCTCAGGCCGTTGAGATTTGGAATGTCTGTTGAGATTTTATATTCTCCCGAATTGAGTAGGACGGGAACTAAGCATAGCACGGGAGAGGGTTGCTGCCCTACTGGAGACGCAGACGGAGACGGCAGGATTGTTTTGTACTGGACAAGATATGATAAGCAATTATTTTGTTTATTGGATTGGACATGATTACAAAGCTATTGTATTTTGCATTTGGTAATCAGGATAATGATATCCTTAAATGTGATTTGCATATGGTGTGTAAATTAATAAAATTATTATTTTTATTTGACACAAGTGATCTATATCCATTAACATGAAAATTAATTGAAAATTTTGACTAGAAGGATAGATTAGAAACAAGTTTAAAATATAAGGACAGATTGGAGGTCTTTTTCTTTTAGGGATAGATTGGAAAATTAGCCTATTATATAAAGACATGTGAGGGTATTAACCCAAATAATTAGTTTGTTTATTGAATATATAAATAATTATTTGTTTGTTTCATAAACAAAATGATAAATTTATACTCAAAAAGCAATTCAGTTTATATATATATATATATATATTTTACTTTCATAACTAAAACGATTATTTTTCTCTATGTTTATTGAATTATTATTTTATTTCATAAGTTTCACAACAATCAATAATTTTAAAGTCATAAATAATTTTTAATTTTTTAGCTATTAATATATGTGATTAGTATGTCAAACAGAGCTGCTGTTGCTCTAGCTTTATAGATGACTTAAAAATTAGAATGCTTAATAGAATTATATGAAAATCTAAAATGTTGCTTGTGAGATGAATTGATTTGTTAGTGTAATGTCAAATTTGGTATGCATGTTTTCTCTATGGATGCGTGGCAACTTGACAATAATTAATTACGTTTTGAAACCTCAAATTTTGCAATTAAATACTACTAGCTTGAGACCCGCACTGATGCGGGGGAGTCGTTACTTGCTAGTGCAAAGTACTATGTAGTTTTGTTTTTACATAGTAGTGATGTAGCTGAAATTATATATATATATATATATATATATATATATATATATATATATATATATATATTTGTAAAAGATACAAGTTAAAAAAGAGAGTGTTTGGTAAATTTTATAGAATCGTGCTAAGCTTATGATTGATAAATAATAGATGTAGGTGGATAAGTTGACAATACAAAGATATGCAAATTCTTTGCACTAGGGAGGAATTGCATCTTTTTTCTAGATGACTAATTATTTTTGTTGTCGTTATTGCTTTTTTTTTTTTTCATATGTATATATATATTCAAGTAATGTTTTTCGATATGTTTGTATATGGCTTAATATTTTAGAAAATCACGAACTTTATATTTTTTAATGATTTTAGTTTATTCTTTTAATTTTGAATAAAAAAAGTCACAAACTAAGCTTCGATAATAATACTTAGTATAGATTTGATTTTCTAACCAAAATTTCGAACAACGTTGAAATAATAGGTGATGAAGCATGACAACTAGACTTTAAATATCACGTAGGATACACGTAATCGTAAGCAGTGAAGTGAAAAATCAAAGGAAAGGATCCATTGTTCATCTTCTCCAAAAATCCTCCCAAGGTTGCTGAAAATCTAACTGCCACCACCCCTATGGTCGACCATGCCTTCACAACTAATGTAACCACCCAAATCACCCTCATTTGATCAACATCCCTCTCCTCCACTGAAACTAGCAAAAGAAGCTACTGTTCATTCTTTCCTTAGTTAGAAAAAATCAAAGAGAGAGAGAGAGAGAAACACATCAGCCACTACCTTCCTCTTCCTTCATCCTTCAACCAAAACACACTAGCTGCCCAATCTTCTTCTCCTAACCGAATCACTAAGACTCACCACACCAGCCTCCTTCCTCCCCACCAAATAAGCTTGCTCAACCCTATACATTTTAGCTTTCCTCTTCAACCCGATAACTCACCAATTTCTCGTCAGCCACAATAACTCTACCTTCGATGCCATTTGTGTACCGTCGATGGCCTCGAAGTGTTCAAGTACTAGTTTTTCTTCCTCACTTCAATACCTCCTCATTACTAATAAATCATTCGAGAAGATAGTGACTGAGTCGTGTCAAAGCGGTTTATGGTAGCAACTATTGCTGCTAACCAAAGTTTAGAGTTGGGGAGGTTTGGAAATGGAAGCGGGGTATCTCTTACATTATGGTTGCAGTACTGCGAGGGTAGCAGCCTTTCAATTCTGGGTTTAACAAATCATGGTTTTGTTTCCATGAGAGAGGATAATGATATCTACAAGCAACATCTTCAGTATGGGGCAGGGGCGTGGATTTTGAATGCCTAAATCCAGGGAACATGCAACACAGGTTTAGTTCCTCTAATGTATTTCTTGATTTCATAGCTTGAAACAATTGATTGAGGATTTACATGGGAATATAGGATTACTTCTGAAACAGTAGCAGCTAGAATTTTGTTGTTCCATTAGGAACATTCATCTCACTTTCATATGTTGAAAGGAAGGTTATGGATAAAACATTGTTGTGGTATATCAAAAGAATTAGGTTAATTTCAATTAGGGATTAATGATTTTGTTGTAATTGGAGTATATATGAGATGACTTGTCTTTTAAGTTTTGTAATTGATTTTTTACGCTACTACTTACGTGAATCCTATGTAGCATTTAAAGTCTAGTTGTCATGCTTCGTCACTCGCCATGTCGTGATCCGAATTTTGATCGAAAAATTAGATTTGTGCTAGTATTATTGTTGAAAACTTAGTTGGTGACCGTTTTATCCAAAGTTAAAAGAATGAGCTAAAATCATTAAAAAGTGTAAATCTTGTGATTTTCCGAAACATTAAGTCTTTAAGTCTTTATTTATTTATATTTGTATGATTATAGAATATGAATAGTTTTGGCTATTGAAAAAAAATTATATTTAAATAAATTTTTTTGATTTAATTCAAATAGATGAAGGTATATTGTTTGGTATATCCATCCCATTTTTTGATAGAATTTAATATTTTTATCAACCAAATAACATATTTTTATATATGTTTTATACAACTGTTGTAATTGTGATAAATAGTTTATTTTAAAAGTTGTAGAGAAGTTGGGGACATATTTTTTAATAATTGATAATTTTTTAAGTTGAAAGAATTTGATAAATTTAATTAACATGTTTTTTAATAACAATTTCCCTTTTAATATTTTTTTGGTAGAGCTATTTGAATTATAGAGCATTGGTTTTTGTGCCTTCTTTGTTAATATGTTGAAATGGTATAGCTAAAAAATTTTTTTGATCGATAAGGTGGAGGAATTGTAGGGCGGTTGTTATGTTCTATATATAGAAACTAAAAAGGTTGTCTTGTGTTTGTTTTGCATGGGAAAATATACGGCTATTAATTATTGTGGTAAAAGGGAAAAACAAGTCGGTTAATGTGTGATTGAGTTTCCAATAGAATGGATTTTTTTTCACAAACATTCTTCATACTTTTTCTTTAAATTGAGTACATCATATCATTTACACTTTGAAAATCAACTTTTACATAAATGGTTCGAGTAGATTAGTGCATTATATTGGGCCATCGATGTCCGTTGTAGCAATGTTATGCTATATACAACCTTTAAATTATTTGGTTTTTCACTTTTTCATGAAAGACATAGCAAACTCGATCCTATTAACATATTGACATAAGGAAACAAATCATAGCCAATGTTTTATAAGCCGAGGTTTAGTGATAAATCTTCGATTAGATAAAAAAAAATGATGAATTATACGGATGACGGTGATTATAACAAAGCATAGTGAATTTTCATATTATAATGAGTTTGTCAAACCATAATCTTTAGTTTTGAAGGCTTCACTTACATGAAAAATTTTTCACACTATATAGAGTACCTTATAAATAGCTTGTCGATATAAATTTCTCTACTAACAGGATTCCAAATTGGGAACCGATCCTACACTTAAGAAAATGCAAACCAAATCTCACATATGACGAAGTAAGCCATAAGCATAGGCATTATCTACAAGATTTGTTATTCGTAGTGGAAGAAAAGACCTAGATCACCAATCACATAATGATCATTGCTCTTTATGGTGTAAGTTTGTTGTGTGGAATTGGATAAACAATTGAAAGTGGTGCGAAAGCCTTTGTAGACTTGCAAATTGAAAAGGAATCATCAAATGAAAATTCCTCAACATGCTAGTTAATATTGTTTCTTTGATTTCAACCTTTATTGAAGAAGTTTAAAGAATAAATGTTGGATCAAACATTCAACCTTCAACATATAAAGGTATAGGCTAGTAAGGATAATTAGAAATCAAACTTCGCGAATATAAGGCTATAAAAAAAAGTCATAACAAGACAAACAACACCTAAACAAATAAGAGAAATTGTACATAAAAAAAATATTTTAACGAGTAATAAATGTTAATTGCAATCCAATAAGAACATGCATGTCAGCAAAATATCTTATACGAAGTCAACAAATATAAAAAACTATATATATATTATCTAAAAGGTATAACATAAATAGCAAATAAGACAATAATATTAGCAATGAATTTAAACGAGCATGTAAAGCAAAAATATGCGTGAAGAGAATGGAAATATTCGGTAACAATTTAAGAATTTATTTTATTTTCATGTCCTTTTTTTCCACTAAAACTCTATGTTAAGCAAACTTAGCTATAAGTATCGGATACAAGTAAGTTTCCAAAAAAAAAGTGAACCCATCATGTCCAAATTTGGAGATGAATCATGAATTTTTATTATTTAGGACTCGATAAATATATGATAAAGACATGGTACCTCAACAACAAATCTCTTTAATCTTAGCCATCTATTAACTAATACACCATGAAAAAAGAAAGTTATATATATATATATGTGTGTGTGTGTGTGTGTGAATATAGAATGAATCCGCCTTACACGTACTCCTTTTTAGGATAACCAAATCTATCAACAATTAGCTTGAACATGACAAACCTCACATGTTACCCACATTTATAAACATGGTGAAGTTCATAGGCTATTGCAACATAAGTGTTGATGTGACCATAACTACATGATAAAACTATATACTTGTATTGGTTTAATCACATAAAATGTCCCTCTACCGTTGACATTTTCTTAATATGGCCCTCTACTTTTTTTCTTATTCATCACTTCCTTGTACTCTTTAATTTTTCTTAATTTGGCCACTTCTCACTAAAATCTAGTGATTAATCTAGTAGGCGATGATAGATGACAAAAAATTATCATATGGAGTGACATATTAGGTAAAAAATTACCATGTGGCTCAACACATCAAATTAAATTTTTCACATGGATAAAAATTTTTACGGACAAAATCCAAAAAAAAAAAAAAAAACCAAAGTTCAAAAACCTTTTGATTTTTATCTCTCATCATGCGATCGATAGATCTACTCGATTTTCCTTCAAAGAATCCATAATCATCACACATTTTCATTCGAAAAAACCCTAATCCTCACACAATTGCTTTTGATTTTCTATTTACCATCGATTCATCGATTGCTTCTAAATCGAACCCTAAAGATCTTTGATTATTCAATAGCCCGAATCCCTAATTTACCTTAATTTTTTAAAATCCCCAATTCAAAATCCTAAATACCCCATTCTAGTTTTTTATTTTATTTTATTTTTATTTTTTGTATCAAGTATCTATTATTATTGGTTGAAGACTTATCTTTATTGTCCCCTAACTTTGTTTCTCTTACTTTGTATCACGATAAAATGGAAAATATAAAAGCAAAAGAATATCTAGTAAAAAAGATAAGTTGTTTTATCCTCTATTTTAGTTTATTATAGTCTGTGTTATTTTGTTTGTTGATTGAGTAGTGGTCTTTTTTATTATCGGGACAACTTAATAATGCGATAAAGTATACGTTGGTGGTTGTTGCTTTGTCATTAGTTTTGAGAACCTCACTATCTCGTATGTGTGGTCCTTGTTTTGTCATTAGTTTGCCAACAAGGTAAATTTTTTATTCTCAATCAACTCGTTATATATTGTTTTGGGACTCGACTTGTCTTATAGGTTGACGAGTGGTTAGTGTTTTTCTTTACTGGTTGTGTTTGATAGATAAAGACATTTCTTTTTCATTTGGTTGGACGTGTGAAAAGATCAGTGCGTCCAATTAGTTTATAGGTTAAATAAGTTAGTGGGTCTATGTTTGAGAAGAAAAATATTGACCCGAGTTATTATGCTTTAGGACCTTCTTAAAATTAAAAGAGGAATTTGGTAAAAAGGATATTGTGTTTGTGTATTACAATGATCCTTTTTCCATATCACAATCCCAATCTTTGTCTCTTAAGTTAGTGCATGATGACGAAGTCCGATATGGTTATTGAGCTTGATAAAGAAAGTTAAAAAGGTTGACATTTATTATGAACGTAGAGGCAAAGACCACCTATTACTCGGTGAGGGTAGTTCGTCTAGAGTGTGTCAAAGGCTAGGAATTACCGACCTTGGTCTTAGGTTGGGTTTTGAGGAGAGGAGAGAGGAACATGATCATGAATTAATTAATGATATGATAATAAATAAAGAAGAAGATGCGACTAAAAATTTAAATGATGCTTGGGTTTCATAATAGTAAAGAAGTAGTTGAGGATGATTTAGTTGATATTTTACTGGGAGAAGATAATTTGGGTGATCTTGGTGTTGTTGATGATAAGGTTGGTAGGGAAGAGTCAAATACATCCGAGAAAAAACGTGTTGAAAATTATGGTGATAAAGTTTTTTACTGTCAATGGTTGTTTGATGATGGAGATGAGGAGTTACAAAAAGTAAGAAATTAGGTTAGAAAAGAAAAGGACAAAAAGAGTGGTTTATATTTGTAGGGAATTGAGGGTGAAAATTTAGAGGGAACCGAGGGAGAAAATTTAGATAGAAATCAAGATGTTAATTTAGAGGGAAATGAAGGTCAAAATTTGAAGGAAACTTAAGTGAAAATGAGAATATAAAGGGAAATGAGGCTATAAATGATTGTGATGATGAATTCTTGAATGTCCTTATAAAAGATATTGAAACAAGTAAAAGTAGAACATGAATATGAAATTGATGCAAGAATTAGTATAGATAGCGAGTGATGAGGATAATAAGAAACAAGAGAGTAAAAGGAAATTCATGAAGGTGTTTTTTACCCCAATATAAATGATTCACATTTTCAAGTTGCAATGATTTTTGCTAATAAGAAGCGAGTTTAATGATGCGATGACTAAACATACTTTAAAGCATATGAGGGATGTAAAGCTTAAGAATAATGATGGGAAAAGGATTAAAGCAATATGTAAAGATAAGAAATGTGGCTTTAAAATTCTATGTTCTCTACTTGGTAAATTTGGAAACTGGATGCTGAAGATAAGTGTGATAGAGCATAGTTGTAGTATTATTTATAAGAATAATTGTTTGAGTTATAAAGTTTTAGGTAAGTATTTAATTCATAAATTTGATAGAGTTTGCTTGAAAATAACATTGAAGAAAATTATTGAGGTGGCCAAGAAGGATTATGGCTTGAGGATCCCGTTCACACATGCTCAACATATAAAAAAATTGGTGTAAAGTAAAGATTGAAGGAAATAATTAAAGGTAATGTAAAGTTTGAATTTGATAAACTTGATAATTATGCTGCAAAATTTAAGGCCAATAATGAGGGTCACGGTGTTATCCTATAATGTGAGGAGGATTGCATAAAGTTTAAAAGGATGAATGTAGGTTTTAAAACGAGTGAGGGATGGTTTTTTATAGGGTTATAGGAAGATTATACGTTTAGATAGATGCTTCCTCAAAGGATATCTTAAGGGGGTACTTCTATCAGCTATAGGTAGGGATGAAAACAACCGGATATTCCCTTTTTCATCTCGGATTCCTATAAAATGATGCCCTACTTCAATTTTTTCTTTCATATAATAGTTAAATCATGTTTAAAGGTTAGTTTTAGTTTTAATTTTTTATTAGACTAAGTTTGTTTGTTGTTTTGATACGGGGCCTATTAGGTGCTCTAGCTGAGTTGCTACTTAATGCAGAATGTAAGAGATGTGCAAGACACATCTTTTCTAATTAGAGAAAGACACATAAAGATGAATAATTACATAGGTTAATATTGAAATATTGTAAAGAAACCGTTAAAGGGGATAAGGCCCAATGTAAAGGAAAATTTTGAAAAGATCCTACTTAATTAGTGGTGTAAGGCTTATTTTGGACCTCAAATCAAGTTTAATGGGGTAGATAATAAATGTGTGAGGCCTTTAATGGAATTATCATTGAAGCTAGGTTTAAAATTATTATGAGTATGCTAGAGGAAATTAGGATGTATGTTGTGGATAGGATGATTGCGAGAAGAGTGTTTGTTGAGAAGAAATTTAAGGATCCATTTGAACCTAAATTTTGGGTAATGATTAAGAACAATAAAAAACTTAGGTATGATTTTAAGGTGTTCTAGAATGGGAGTAAAGGTTAGGAGGTTGGTTGGAGATATAGGGATGATAGGTTTATTGTTAACATAGAGTAGAAGAGGTGCACTTGTAGGAGGTGAGATATCTCGGGTATCCTTTGTGAGTATGCATTTGTTATGATTAAATTGAAAAGATGGAGAGTTGAAAACTATATTTAAGAGTGGTATTCAAAAGATAGGTTTATTAAGTCTTATAAGTATTTCATTAAACCTATGAATGGAGTGAAGTTTTGGCTAAGGACTCGGTTTATCACTTGTCTACCCTCCAACTCGTTGTTAAGATGCTTGGAAGATAAAAAAAGAGTAAGAGAATAAAACAATGGGATGAAAAGAGTGGTAGCACTAATATGTCTAGAAAAGAAAGGAAGATGACATACCGGAGGTGTTTTAAACAAGGTCATAATAGTAAGACCTACCCCGAAAATCCTAATTGAAAGGTATAAATGTTTATGACTATAGCCTTTTTGTTTCTTGCTTAAGTTTGCATAATCATCTACTTGATAATAATAATATGTTGTTTATTTTATTTTATAGTTCTTCAAATGCAAATACGGAACCCGAATGGGAAAGTTAGGATGAGCGATTTAGGAGTGGAAAAAAATATGGTAATTTGTTTATGATTATACTCTTTTTCAAATACAAATACAGAACTTAAATGTTGTGTTGTACAAGATACACAATCTACTAGAGATTCTTCTATTCGGTCGAGAGAGATTCGACAAAAGAGGAAAAAGTTCTATTGTTATTGATGAACTCCCTAAAGTTGAGCCAATAACAAAATCACCAATTACCGGATCTACTGCGAAATAAGGAAAAAGATCTCTTATTGATGAAGTTCCCGAAGTTGAGTCCCCGGTTACTAGATCTACTACCGAAGAGGAAAAAAACAACGTTTTGATTGAAACCGCCTTCCGTAACAAAACTCTTAATAGTAGATCAACCGCCAAAAAGGCCAAGAAACCTCGGGTTACAAAAGGTTATTTTGTTTCTAACTTAGGATGTATGATTCTAGACATAAGTGTTACTATTTTTTCTTCTCTAATTTAAATAAATAAGATTAATTCTTTATTTATTAATTTTCAATAAACTTTTTTTGTATGGCCTAGACACACAATTAGTAAATTAATTATAGTCCCTCATAGAAAAGATCTAAAAATACCCACAACTTCTAAAGGAAAGGAAAGAAAGAAGAAAAGTGAAATTGGATCTCAAAAAACTAGAGTTCTTCATCTTCAAGATTGATGTGCTTGACTTACATGGTTGGGATGTTTGTGAAAATTGCAGTAATAAATTTTGGAGTGGGATTGATGTTTTGTAATTAAACACCTACAACCTTTGAAGTTATGCATTGTATTGTGTTTTTGGGATTAAAATGAATCATATAATTGTTGCCTTTATTTTAAATATTATGATTCGTTGCCTTTGTTTGGTTAAATGTCATAGTCTCTTAATGGTCCACCAAGTTTTCTATGATCTTTTACTTCATCAACTATTTGATTTTAACATGGTGGAGTCTTGTGTTTGTTGGAGGGTCCATGATGATTAAGGTCATTTTGAAGGATTATTTTTTTTAAGGATCATCAAAATGTTATTGTCTTCCAACCTTATTCGTTGGTTTTTTGACTCATAGTTTATTTGTTTTGTTTTGTTACAAATATTACTTTCAAGATGGATTAATAAACAAGTCATTAGGATATGAAAACAAGAAAGAAAGTAATCGATGGATAAGTTATTAATTGTTATGTTCATCTTCATTGAAGAATTTGAAACAAATTATTGAACATGAAATAATAATAATAATAACAATAAAAAGAATGAAATATTGTGTAATTTTTACCCTTTCTCTTTCCCCAAACAAGAAATTGGAAAAAAAATTAGGAAAAACTATGAACATCCGACCTCATTCTCATCCCTTAAAAGGAAGGAAAAAAAAAATTAATTAACTATTCATAAGAAACAAATAAAATTAGTAAGAGACAAGTCTAATTAATTT